GTACTACCACTTAGAAACCCAACCTTTTTGGATTACTAGCTTATCATAATCATTTGATATGTTTCATATTATACTTGGGTTTCTATAAGACATAGAAAAAGCCTCAAGTTCTGTCCCCATTAACAAGTGTAATGTTCCTTCAATAAATATTTTGTTATAAAATAACCTGACATACACCCATACACAGATTCCTCAGTAAAACCCATGTACAGATTCCTCAGTAAACCCTAATATTACAAGAAACAGCAAGAAAGTTATGCGATTTATAAATAAGGGAGACCAAATTAAATGAGAATTGTTTTATTTTTCCACAGACAGCACATTGTGTGGCTTTGTCAGAGACTTCCCAATTGACACTGCACATACAAGGACAACAAGAAGACTGACACATCCGACGGCCACCAACACCCAGAGCTCCACAGGGGCAGACGCTTCCTTTGTCATTTGAAGTGCAACATTGCTTTGTTTTGGCACAGTCACTAGCAGAGGTCCTAGAATGGTCACACTTTGTCCACCTTCTATGTGGGGTTCTGTAGGAGAAAACACTGGGGGTCAAGAAGCACATACAAGTCAGCATTTACTTAAGTGTGTATAAAGTTAAAAACCCATTATAGACCTAGTCACATGAACCAAGAGTTGATTAAAATAGGGAAGGGGGATGTTACAACCCCCTTTCAGGTTTTTAGTACACAAGCATTTTGAGATCTCCATTCCTAGTCCGATTATGTGGCAAGAGACTTTCCACTGGGAGCACAAAGCAGCCATTGTTAGCTTTGCCCTCATAGTGCTACCCTTGTCCCTCAGATCTGTTCGTGTGGATCACCTACAGCTATTACTTTCAAAATGGCAGCTGTAGATTATAAAAACTCACCATCCAAGGCTTCCCTCTTGCCAAATGCTCTCGGTCTTCCAAATCTGGTCCTTCCTCCGGTCATCAGATTAGTGTTGCTGCAGGTGCCTGTTGTCTGACAACACTGGCAGATATCGCTGGGGCCCTCAACTGCAGACCAGCTAGAGAAGACAAGCAATTGTCAGTATCACAGCCTAGATTTTAAGAACATACATTACATTTTTGTTAAAAGCCACACAGCTGTAAAGTGTCTTTATATTTTACTTCGTCGTGAAAGAATTTTGCTCATTCCTAGTAAGATGAAATAGTGCACTAGAGGTACAGTTACATGTGCCAAGCAAGAGGCACATCTGAGGCTACATCCTTCTATTAAGACAGGCATTCAAGCATTCCAGTGTGGACTGAACAGTGTTTTATGTGCAGGAAGAACACAATTGGGCTTAAATGTTATATTTGCCTAACTGGTGGCGCTCTAAGCAGTGATCATGTGACCTAGTTAGTTCACTTAGGCTCACTAATTTTTTGGAAAGATTAGGTGCTTGAGTGACAGGATACCAGGTTTCTGCACAGCTTATTCTTTTACAGGGGAGCTCTGATCACCCTGGTGGGAATACGTAGCCAACACCAAAGGTGTCCTGTTTTGAACCAAGGAACAAATGCAAGGCACCATACCAGAGGCCCTCAGGTGTGACTGGTTACATGGCTGTCTAGGAAGAAACATCCTACCCAGTGTACATGGTATAGGAAAGACCCTGGGAGACAGCAGAGGCTACCTGTGCAGCATTACAGTAATCAATATTTCCAGCTGTTAACCACCAGTTAGTGGCGCTTTAGGAAAAATCATGTTATTGGTTAGCTTATCATAATCATTTGATATGTTTCATATTATACTTGGGTTTCTATAAGACATAGAAAAAGCCTCAAGTTCTGTCCCCATTAACAAGTGTAATGTTCCTTCAATAAATATTTTGTTATAAAATAACCTGACATACACCCATACACAGATTCCTCAGTAAAACCCATGTACAGATTCCTCAGTAAACCCTAATATTACAAGAAACAGCAAGAAAGTTATGCGATTTATAAATAAGGGAGACCAAATTAAATGAGAATTGTTTTATTTTTCCACAGACAGCACATTGTGTGGCTTTGTCAGAGACTTCCCAATTGACACTGCACATACAAGGACAACAAGAAGACTGACACATCCGACGGCCACCAACACCCAGAGCTCCACAGGGGCAGACGCTTCCTTTGTCATTTGAAGTGCAACATTGCTTTGTTTTGGCACAGTCACTAGCAGAGGTCCTAGAATGGTCACACTTTGTCCACCTTCTATGTGGGGTTCTGTAGGAGAAAACACTGGGGGTCAAGAAGCACATACAAGTCAGCATTTACTTAAGTGTGTATAAAGTTAAAAACCCATTATAGACCTAGTCACATGAACCAAGAGTTGATTAAAATAGGGAAGGGGGATGTTACAACCCCCTTTCAGGTTTTTAGTACACAAGCATTTTGAGATCTCCATTCCTAGTCCGATTATGTGGCAAGAGACTTTCCACTGGGAGCACAAAGCAGCCATTGTTAGCTTTGCCCTCATAGTGCTACCCTTGTCCCTCAGATCTGTTCGTGTGGATCACCTACAGCTATTACTTTCAAAATGGCAGCTGTAGATTATAAAAACTCACCATCCAAGGCTTCCCTCTTGCCAAATGCTCTCGGTCTTCCAAATCTGGTCCTTCCTCCGGTCATCAGATTAGTGTTGCTGCAGGTGCCTGTTGTCTGACAACACTGGCAGATATCGCTGGGGCCCTCAACTGCAGACCAGCTAGAGAAGACAAGCAATTGTCAGTATCACAGCCTAGATTTTAAGAACATACATTACATTTTTGTTAAAAGCCACACAGCTGTAAAGTGTCTTTATATTTTACTTCGTCGTGAAAGAATTTTGCTCATTCCTAGTAAGATGAAATAGTGCACTAGAGGTACAGTTACATGTGCCAAGCAAGAGGCACATCTGAGGCTACATCCTTCTATTAAGACAGGCATTCAAGCATTCCAGTGTGGACTGAACAGTGTTTTATGTGCAGGAAGAACACAATTGGGCTTAAATGTTATATTTGCCTAACTGGTGGCGCTCTAAGCAGTGATCATGTGACCTAGTTAGTTCACTTAGGCTCACTAATTTTTTGGAAAGATTAGGTGCTTGAGTGACAGGATACCAGGTTTCTGCACAGCTTATTCTTTTACAGGGGAGCTCTGATCACCCTGGTGGGAATACGTAGCCAACACCAAAGGTGTCCTGTTTTGAACCAAGGAACAAATGCAAGGCACCATACCAGAGGCCCTCAGGTGTGACTGGTTACATGGCTGTCTAGGAAGAAACATCCTACCCAGTGTACATGGTATAGGAAAGACCCTGGGAGACAGCAGAGGCTACCTGTGCAGCATTACAGTAATCAATATTTCCAGCTGTTAACCACCAGTTAGTGGCGCTTTAGGAAAAATCATGTTATTGGTTCACAAAGTCATGGTTTCTGACAGTTCTTGTGCAGAATGTTCCTACATTACTCAGATGTGGTCTTAATGCAGTGGCTATGATGCAGTAAATACAATAACCAAATGGGCACAATACCACCATTTTAATACAGTCTTACCCATTTGTGGTCTTGCTATAGGAACAGGCCTTGTTCATGGAATCTGGGACCTGGGTGGCTGCAGCAGCTCTCAGGTAACAGGTTATGTAGATCTGAAAAGAAAGATTTAAATAGATTTATCAGTGCTTACAAGGCATCCCATCTGTTGCAACCAACTCAAATCCTCACCAGAGACGCATCATTTCCTAGGAATCGGAAGACATCAACTGTGAACCGTAGGTTGTCTGGTTTGACCCTTGGAGTCACGAAGGCTGCAGAGGAGTCCTCTTGCATTCCATCTACCAGACACCTGTAGAAGATTGTCAGTTAGAAAGTGGGGTGATTAGAGCCATGACCCTTTCCCTAGATATTAGAAGAACATACCCATGGTCTGTAATGATGTCATAATTAGGAGAAGAGCTGGCATCAGGTGATATGGTGGCCACACATCGGTCAATAAACAGTATTAGGCCAATATGGTTCTGAGTGTCCACAGAGGCCTCTATGTAGAGAATATCTCCCAACTGAAACACTGAAGAACTTCTAGGGCCACTCCAGTCCTCTGCAGGCATAACAAAAATTAGCAGGCATAACAAAAATTAGTAGTCCAACTGAGTCCCAACTGACTCCCATCCGCCTCATTCAACTTACCAGCCATCAAGTGCAAAGAAAAGGACAGCCTCTCTTCTGAGGATACTGTGGTGCTGAATGGAAGCCATGTTGGCTTAATGGCCTTACTGCTCACATTACCATGCCTATACAGGAGAAAAGAGTCGGTAAAAATCATGAGCTATAAACATTGAATTTCAGATCTATATTGGGTTTCTAAGGCAAGTACCATCTAGAAGGGAAAATGGTTTATTAGTATGGTAGCCACCATTGTTTACTTGGAAAATGCAGTTCTGACTAGGCTTGCAACCATCAGTTATTGACTTGAAACTAGCATGAATGATGCCAGTCTACACTGGCTCCATTCTTGATGACCGACAAGGACTCGGAAAATATCTGAAGCCTGTACTTCAAAATTTGAGTATGCAAAGCAGCTACAATATTATCCCCAAGGTGGTTCTAAGACCGTATTAACATAATGTGCATCATTGTGAAAACCCAAATTCATGATATTACCACAAACTTAAGATGGGCCACCAGTTTGTGAAAGTAGAGCATGTTAGACCCTCTGCCAGGAAAATTTTCCATCAGTGTTCTTTATAGGATTAGTAGCAACTCGGATTAGTAGCAACTCACTAGGTCTGAGTGTGGGAAAGCCATTAACCCAAGTTGTCGCTAGAAAAGGCATGGATGCCTTTTCCTAATGGGCACTTGTTCCAGTGACATCATGGGGGATATACCCAATTGGAAAGTACTCACTTGTGTTTAGAGCTGGATGAGAAAAGAAATCTCTAGAATAGGACAAATAGCAGAAAACCTGACTGGGACTTTAAAGCTACAAACATTTGGAAAGTAGGGGACCGTTAGCCATTGACTAGTAAGGATGCAATGCTGTTAGATCTGCCCTAGTGTAGACTCACCGATAGTAGTAGCACATTATGGGGACCACAGCTGGGTTGGTTCTGATGATTGGAATGGAGGAGGTTGGGCTGTAGGTCAGGCTGGTAGTGTAAACCACCCAGTCTTGAGACATCTGCACAGAAAAGTAGAATGTTACATTGATTTGGCAGCTCTACACATCAGACATGCGACAGAGCCATTGACCCATTGACCCATTTCCAAAGACTAGTCATCCATCATGCCAATAAGGATTCAGCAAGCATTTAACTTTTACGATTCACAAACTTCAGGTCAGTGACTCAGCCTGATAATTTAGAAGATCAACAAAAGCAGACCCATATCTTATTAAAGGTTCTCTAAAAAAAGATCACTATCCAAAGAAACCCTACAGGTAAAGCTTAGAAAAATGTAATACATTTTAAATACTTCCATGCAGTATTTTGCCTTCATATTGTTTTATTTCACTTGCAACGCACCTCTAAACTTGCTAGGGAATACACACATCAAGTACCTGTTTCCTAGCACAGATACCCGCCATCATTACACATCACAGCCCTCTCCTGGAGTGTCAACTTACCCCACCCCCCCCCCTACATAACACTTCATGTGGCTGCTGGGGGAAGAGTGAAGGAATACTATGGACTGTATTTTAAGTGCTAACTGCAAGTCAGCAGGGGCAGCTGACATATCCAAGATGGCAGCACTAAGGGCTATTGGATGTCTAAACAATAGAAGCTCCTACAGGTAAACATGCCAAAGAGGTTAAGTGCACATAGATCTTATGCTGAAGAGTCAAGCAACACGGTCTCATTAAAGACAGCTACCAATGATTGAAGACAAAACCCAAGAAAACCCCACTCGTCTAAAAGCCATGGTTCCCAATTTAGGCAACATACTAAAATCTAGCAAAATATTTCCCTGAAATACTACCTGTCCTGCTCCCTACACTGTTAACCACTTTAACAGTGCTCACAGTACCCTCTTCATCCAATACTCTGGTGGTTGCCATGTTAAAAAGACCTTCTGCTTTCTTGTCCCACCCAACCTGGATTGCTAATCTTTGCTCTCCAAAAGCTATAGTGCCCAACAGGGGCGTAACTAGAAATGACAGGGCCCCATAACAAAATTATGTATGGGGCCCTGTGACTTCTAGTTATGCCCCTTGCAGAGCCCACTTGAGATCCCACACAGCCCACCTGAGGGTGACCCTGCAGAGCCCACCATAGAGTCCCGATGGTGGGCTCTGCAGGGTCACCCTCAGGTGGGCTGGTCACACTCCTTACTTGTCCGCCTCCTTTTCCAGCACGATCGTTGATGATCACCGCCTCCTCCATCACCGGGCCCCACCTCCTCCTCTGCTGCCGATCAAGCCACCAGCATAAGATGCTGTAGCGACCCAGGCAGTCCACACGGCATCTGGCCAGGCCCCCCTGTGCCCCATAGCAGCCACCTGGGTGCAGGTAACCCCTCTTGCCAGTTAGGACTGATGCCATGGCTGCTCAATACAATGACAGCAATTTAGTTCTGTAGTTTGGAGCATTCCTATAACAGGAGCCATTAACAGCAACAGCAGGCTGGCTAGATCTACATTACAAGATCTCAGTGCTTCATCTAAATACATAACCAACTAGAGGATCACCACCTGATCTAAAAAGCCTGCAAGTGAGTCAGCCACCATGCAAGTGGATGCTGAGGGGCTGCAGTGACCTGAGCAGAAGACAGAACCAGAGAAAGTAACCCACAACCTGCATGGTTTAAACACATTTGAAAACACTAGCCCCTTTAGATCAGGTGAAGCTGTCACATTATAAATTATTGGTTGAGAGTTTCCTTGTACAGAGCAATGCAGAATGCCACCAGCTATAGAGAACTACAAATCCCAGCAATACACTGTAAAGCATTGCAGAATAATATGAAGCTACATACTGTGTTGCTCCAGGTTTGAAGCCTGATGTCTCCAGGGTCTCAAGAGATGTCCCACCTTTGGGGTGGGACAGTGCAGCCTTTTTTTTGGGGGGGGGGCGGTGGGTCAGAGAGACTGGCCTGAATAGAGGGCCACAGCTGCATGGTTTGCTCGGCCCAACCCATGGTAACTGTCAGGCCGTGACTGTCAGCTCGGCCTACTCAGTGTTAGGCCTGGAGCGGGAGCTCCACCCACATGTTGATCTGGCCCTGGGTCCATTAAGAAGCCTAGTTGCCTCGCCATCAACTCAAAAGTAATCAATGACCAAAACGAGCATGCCGAAAGGGAATACAATATACCTGCTTGCCTAAAGGGAGTCAGCACTCCTTTTAAGATCTGTGGATCTGGAGCTAGGGGAGTGCTTTAAAGAAACTTGCTTGAAGCTTACAGTTTGCAAGGCTCTCAAAAGCTAAAGCCTGTGTGCAATGCTTCAAAGCAATTGTATTGTGGTTTTAGACCTGTTCCCTCATGGTCATGGAAGTGTAAACATATTCCCCATTTGATATATATTCAGAGAACCAGGGCAGAATTCAGGAACAGGGCAATCATTGAGAATCGGGTCTGGGCTCATCTCAGTGAACACGAGATTGTCTTTAAACCCTACAAAGGGAAATAACCCATAGGGAGCAGGTTTCAGTTTACTAAACCCACAAAAGACAGAAAAGATAATTTGTTGCTCTAATTTATATAGAGAATAAAAAACAAGTTAAAAATCTAGTTGTTGCTATAGGCATCACTGAAGTTACTGGAACACATACACTACAGAACTTTAAAGAAAGGATATGAAGTGCAAAGTTACCCGAGCAGTGTTGCCACAGTCCTGGAGGCTAATCTGGAAGATGACCATGTTGTCAGTACTTTGGGTGCTTGGCTTGCATAGTTGGGCTCCCAGGCTCAGATCGGAAAGTTTTACTAGCTTTCCATTCCCATACAAATCCCTCTGAACACTGACCTCCATGGTGTCCTCTCCACACTGGACACTAATAGGGGAACTTCTAGTCTGTAGTTGCTGTCGGAGCATCCCAGCTGGATGCCCAGCAGATAAACCCCACTGAGCCCCAGCTCTGGAAGCCCCAAACCCAAGCACAGGCGCATTACTATCCCGATAAAGCTCTCTGGAACCCCATCTAGAAGGAACCTGGGCAGGCACAGCCTGCTGGTAGTTCCTCCACCAATCTGACTGGCGACTATGTCTAGCTAGGACGCCATCTCCAGCACAGCCAAACCCTGGTCCATAAACCAGTGCAAGCAGCAACAACCAACTACAGCAGCTCCTCATCCTTAAGCCCATCCTGTCTGCAAGAGGAACTGCAATAGGAGTGAGTTAGAGAGAGTTACCATTTATACCCCTCCCAGCAGCCACTAATACCCTCACCTGGGGCAGATCATTACCACACCCAGATTGCTGGCTCATTCAGCATTAGGGGTTAAGCTTGCCATACACCTTACGATTATTTGACAATTGTTTGGAAAAAGTGCAACAGATTCCTCCATCTATGCTAAACTCTGTTAATGGAGGAATCTCTGACTGGGCCAAGCTTCAGCATCTTTAAAAAATTGCCATGTGTCTTTTGGTCCATTGACACATGTTTATGGCCCATTGAAAATGTATTTAGACCATGCAATGGGCGTCATCATGCCGAATAATGAGTGCCAACTAATGTTGGGGGAACTTAGAGGAACTGGGAACATGAACCAAACCATTGCACATCCTTAGTATCAACACATGCAACATGTGAATGAGCCCTTTGCATTACCATTAATTTCCATGGACCCCAGGACGCACACTGAACCTGTAACATACATGCTGTGCTCTCTGAATGAGCTCTATCACTGGGAGCTGCTTAGATCTTGCATTGCTGTAATGTCTTATTTATTATTACTTGAAGTCATTCATTTAAAAAGTGAAGTTTTGGGTGTCCACCTTTGTGTGTTCTCAGCTCCTCCTGTCACATTCTGGGTAATATTAAAAAATAAATAAAAAAAATCCAGCAGACCCAGCTCAGGGATGGTGGGAACCTCTTATGAGTACAGCAGGTGTACAGACCCAGGAACCCAGCTCAGGGATGGTGGGAACTTCCTACAATGAGCACAGCTGGTGTACAGACCCAGGGACCTTCCTCAGGGATGATGGGAACCCCTCATAATGGGTAGAGCAGGTGTACAGACCCAGGAACCCAGCACAGGGATGGTGGGAACCCCTGATAATATGCACAGCAGGTGTTTAGAGTCAGAAAGGTAGCACAGGGATGGTGGAAACCCTCTATAATGGCCACAGCAGGTGGTTAGAGTCAGAAACAGTACAGGGATGGTGCAAAGTGAGCTGCAGTGTCTGGGATGGGGAAGCATGTGAGACACAAATGAAAGAGGATTTGGCACAGTCAGTGAAGGTAAAGAAAAGTTTGTTTCCTTTATGAGGCTTATATATGACATAGTAACTGGATTTGGTACTTGTTTAGATTGTCATACAGGATCTCTTAGTTGTACTTTAGGTGATGTGGAAGGATACCAGCACTATATAAATAAGATACTACAAGTATACATTATTTGTAGCAAAAAAAAAAAAGGCCTGGGACTTAGGCTCTGTGAGTGAAGTTTGAGGAAGATGATGACATGGAGCAACTACAGCATGTATGAGAAGCCAGGGAAACTTGTCCTCTGCTGGAGCATGGTGATCTCTTCATTAATTGGACTGGTAGCTAGCTATATCCTCAAGTATTCTACAGTCAGTAACTGAAGGCACAGAATGATGGATCGTCTTACAGATCTTCCATGAAGGCAGGGCCGGCCTTAGGGGTGTGCGAGCCACAGGGCGCCATGGCAACAAGGGCGCCGTGCGGCCGTCACAGCTCGTCCTGTGGGCGGCTTCTCTCCCCCTCACCGCTGGCCATCCGATATGACAGCGCTCCCTCGTCTTGGTAAGTATTTGAATGGGAAGCCTCTGTACTGAGAGCTTCCCATTCATTGAGTGCTGAGGCTGTAGAAAAAGAAATTGAGGATTTTGTGTCCTCAATTTCTTTTCTATTTTACAAGGGAAATGTCAGGGGTCTGTTTGGACCCCTAATATTTCCCCGAAGCCCCCCCAACAGTTAAAAAAAAGTGCGAAGACTAAAAATTCATTTCAGATGAAATGAACAAAAACTAAAAAAAAGTTTTCATTTGTTTCATCAAACAAAACACATTTATATGCTATTTTGTATTCAGCCACTGGCGTGTTCTGGAGGCAGGGCGCATGACGTCATATAACACCGCACATGTTGGGCGCCGCTATCTTGGTGTATATCTAGGTATGCACCAAGATGGTGGGGCCAATATCGGCGTGAGGTCACCTGACGCCACGCATGCATGGCGTCATGTAACGTCATGCTCCCTGCCTCCAAGATGGTGGTACGCATTCACAGAACACGCTGGTGGCCAACATCATCGCCTCACATTCTCAAACAAATTATTATTATGTGTCTGAATACATTTCTCGTATATTCGGACATATAGTAATTCATTAATTTACATGTAGCCCGGGGTCTGTAGCACAGGGTGCCTAAAGGCCTAAGGCCAGCCCTGCATGAAGGCTGCAAGTATTGTATTTTTTATTATTAGATTCTACAACATCCAGGGTATCCTGGCCCCTAACTCTATCCCCATGAAAAATATTCAATAAAAGTTCATCATGCATCAGATTAAGGATGCACAGATACCATTTTTTCAGTATCGAGTACCGATATTTTGCTTTTGGTACTTGCCGATACCGGCGCTTCTGCTGGCATGGAGACAGCATCCCGGGCAATCAGGAAGCCGAGCGGTGGGTAAAGACATGCCTCCCAGCTTCTTGATTGCCCAGGAAGCCAGCTCCATGTTGTTTGGCTGGCTCAATTGGGTGGAAAGCAGGTTTCCCACCAAAATCACAATCAGCATTGTGCCGCCTTCCCATCCAATCAGGAAGCTCGGTGACAAGTAATGACTTCCCTCCCAGCTTCCTGATTGGCCGGCTCGATGCTGATTGACCAGGAAGCCGCTTTCCCAGTCAAACAACATGATGTGTTCTTTAGCCCTCAAGATGCATTTTCCAACCAGCATTGAAATGCAGCTCCTGCAGTTCCGTTTTTATGTCTTGAATAATCTGTACCATTGATTTATTTTTTTTAAGGACTAAAAGTTTAAGGTTTAGATACCCTCAGCTTGTGCTTAGACCATTATACGAGTATTAAGTGTTGTGAATTCATTCCCCAGCCAGATCTCTAATTTTATATAGAATGTTTAGACTGTTGGTTATGTGTTTAGATTGAGCACTGAGATCCAGAGGAATGCTTAAAAAGGAGAACTATGTGGCGAGTGATTTCCACTCATCCTCATAGCTAGAGCCGACCTGTGACAAAGAAGCTGTCACAGATCGGCTCAATTGATCAGGAAATAAACAGAAACATGCCGCTGATCCGCTCACTTTCCAATCATCTCCCTGCAGAGAGCGGGGACAGTCAGGGAGTCCCCACTTTCCTCTCCGATCCTCCAGTGTTGAGTGGAGGAACGAACAAGGTGGGCACAGCTGACTGCCTCTAGATAGGCAGAGCTAGCCATCACTCATGCAGCTGGGTGGATCACGACTATTGTCGAGATCTGTCCCGGCTGCATAATTCAGTATATAGCGGGCAATAGCTCGCTATATACTGAGCTTTGGGTCAGGGGAGGGTAGTATATGTCCTCCCATGACCCTAAAGAGAACTATGGGGAAAACCACTTAACACATAGCTCTCACATTTTACTTGCTTAGCAGGACATTACTACAAATATACAGCATGAACAGGAAACCTATATAACCAAAGTCAAAACATGCACAAGCAGAGACCAAACATTGCACCATCTAGCGCTCAAAAGGTATTACATCTCTGAATGTCAGTATTACAAATCAGTATGCAGTTGTATTTCCAACACCCCTTCTCAACAGCATATGCATTGCTACATGACATTTAGCTTCTCTTGAAGGAAACTAATAATCCTTTAGCAAAGGCTCGGTGATAACATACAGTCATTCCTTCTGATGAGCACTATTGCATGTCGATAATAGCTTGCTCGAGTGTCAAGAGTTTTATTTTCTTGGAGTGATTTTATTTCTTCTTTGCAGCCTTTTTCCATTGATGTGGCTTTGGTAAATTGTCGACATCCTCCCGTGATGTTGGTTTGAGCATGCCATGCTCCTTAGCAGTATATGGCAGCTTGCAGGGTGGTATTCCCTTTGTTGCCTGAATGGATCCTGTAATTTTAAGTTCAGCAGATTTTAACAAGGAACATGAGTCATGCATTGTGAGTTCCACCTCTTGTTCAGACTTAATTTTGCTCAGCTTCCTTTGCTGGTTCGTGGGGCAAATTCTCTTCCCAGAATCATCGTTTCTGGTGAGGAGTTCTCATTGAAGTAAAAAGCCAAAATCAGGAAAGTGGTTGGCAGCACTGGCTGGTAATAACTTGCTGCTTAGCCAGCTTCCCAACCAATCAGGAAGCTGGATGGCAAGTCATTACACTCTTACTTCGATTTGCGTCCTTTTACAGCAAAAACACAGCTTTCTTTGTTTTGCTGTGTGCTCTCATGCACCTTGAAGATGCATGTTTTCTTCATTGTGCATATTTTTCTTCTGTCATATTTGATAATTTTACTTTAGTGTATTCTACTGTTAGTTCCTGCTCAGGTCTGGTTTCTAGAGCATTAAGAACACTGACTCTGAAAGGCTTCCTCTCCAATTGCACATAGTTCTACCATTGCCAGCATGGCATTCATATGTTCATGCATTTCCTGACCTTTCTAGCCTCAGGAATAAAGCATTAACAGTAAACATATCAGACAAACAAGTACAGACACCAACAATTCACCACCTTGTGCTCAAGAGATATTTGTATTACTGATATTCAGAGATGTAATGAGTATGTGGTTTTATTTCCAACAGACTACCACTTGTAATCCAAAAAGGTTGGGTTTCTTAGTTTATCATTATCATTTGATATGTGTCATTACATTTGGGTTTCTATAACATATAGCAAAAGCTTCAAGTTCTGTACCATTAACAAGAGTAACGTGAGTAACGTTTCCTTTCAATAAATATGTTGGAGAAACTTCTGACATACACCCATATACAGATCTCAGTAAACCCCAATGTTACAGGAAAACAGCAAGAAAGTACATTATGGCATCTATAAATAAAAGATATCAGATTAAATGAGAATTGTTTTATTTTTCCACAGACAGCACATTGTGTGGCTTTTTCAGAGACTTCCCAATTGACACTGCACATACAAGGACAACAAGAACACTGATACATCCGACAGCCACCAACACCCAGAGCTCCATAGGGGCAGGCTCTTCCTTTTGTCATTTGAAGTGCAACATCGCTTTGTTTAGGCCCAGTCACAAGCAGAGGTCCCAGAGTGGTCACACTTTGTCCACCTTCCATGTGGGGTTCTGTAGGAGAAAACACTGGGGTCAAGAAGCACATACAGATTTCTGTACACTTCCATGCAATTAAGAGATTAGTCAAGTCAACATTTACTTGTGTGTAGAAAGTTAAAACCCATTACAGACCTAGTCACAAGAACCAAATTTGATTAGAATAGGGAGGAGGGATGTTACAACCCCTTTCAGGTTTTTAGTACCCAAGCATTTTTTGAGATCTCCACTCCAAGTCAGATTATTTGGCAAGAGACTTTCCACTGGGAGCACAAGGCAGCCATTGTGTTGCTAGCTTTGTCCCCATATTGCTACCCTTGTCTCAGATCTGTTCATGTGTGGAGTCTTCATATCTAGACATCACCTACAGCTATTACTTTCAAAATGGCAGCTGTAGATTATAAAAACTCACCATCCAAGGCTTCCCTCTTGCCAAATGCTCTCGGTCTTCCAAATCTGGTCCTTCCTCCTGTCATCAGATTAGGGTTGCTGCAGGTGCCTGTTTGACAACACTGGCAGATATTGCTGGGGCCCTCAACTGCAGACCAGCTAGAGAAAAGACAGACAAAATATAGGCTGTGATACTGACATTTAAGAATGAACAATTACATTTTTGCTAAAAGCCACACAGCTGTAAAGTAGCTTGACATTTTACTTTGTAATGAAGGTGAAAAACTGAGCTCATTCCCAGCAGATGAAAGAGTGCACTACAGGTACAGGGACAAGTGCCTAATAGAGTCACATCTGAGGCTAAATCCCTTCTATTAAGACAGGCATTCAAGCACTCCAGTCTGGAACTGACCGATGCTTTAAAGCCCAATTGGTATTTTTCTTCCTGCACAAAATGCTCTACTTGCCTAAGTGGCGCTCTAAGCAGTGATCATGTGACCTAGTTTAGTTCTAGGTTAGTCCCTCATTTTTGGCAAGATTATGTGCTTGAGTGACAGGATACCAGGTGTCGGCATAGCTTATTCCTTTCAGGGGGAGCTCCGACAACCTTGGTGGGTATTTACAGCCAACACCAAGGTGTCCCTTTTGGGACCAAGAAGCAGGTGCAAGGCACCATACCCATAATGCGAAATATGCCAGTACCCAAGGACGTCTGGTGTGACTGCTTGGGTAAGATGTTTCTTCCTGGACAGCCATGTAACCAGTGTACATGGTATAGGAAAGACCCTGAGAGATAGATAGGCTACCTGTGCACCATTACAGCCATCAATATTTCCAGCTGCTTACACCATTAGCTTTAGGAAAACATGTTATTGGATCACAAAGTAATTGGTTCAGGCACAGTTCTTTTGTGCAGAAGGTTCCTCCATAACACATTTGAGGTCTAGATGCAGTGGCTATGGTACAGTAAATATAGTAACCAATGGACAGACTACCATTTTAATACAGTCTTACCCATTTGTGGCTTTGCTATAGAAACAGGCCTTGTTCATGGAATCTGGGACCTGGGTGGCTGCAGCAGTTCTCAGGTAACAGGTTATGTAGATCTGAAGGGAAAGATTTTAATAGGTTATCAGCTCTTACAAGGCATCCCATCTGTTGCAACCAATTCAAATCCTCACCAGAGACGCATCATTTCCTAGGAATCGGAAGACATCTACTGTGAACCGTAGGTTGTCTGGTTTGACCCTTGGAGTCATGAAGGCTGCAGAGGAGTCCTCTTGCATTCCATCTACCAGACACCTGTAGAAGATGGTCAGTTAGAAAGTGGGGTCATTTGCGCAAGCTTCCCTCAGCCACCACCATTGACATTTTGTTGAGCAATGACCCTTTCCCCAGATATTAGAACATACCCATTGTCCGTAATGATGTCATAATTAGGAGAAGAGCTGGTATCAGGCGATATGGTGGCCACACATCGGTCAATAAACAGGATCAGGCCAATATGGTTCCGAGTGTCCACAGAGGCCTCTATGTAGAGAATATCTCCCAACTGAAAGACTGAAGAACTTCTAGGGCCACTCCAGTCCTCTGCAGGCATAACAAAAATGAGTAAGTCCCAACTGCCTCCCATCGCCCCCTTCCATCCTCCTCATTGAACTCACCAGCCATCAAGCGTAAAGAAAAGGACAGCCTCTCTTCTGAGGACACTGTGGTGCTGAATGGAAGCCATGTTGGCTTAATGGCCTTGCTGCTCACATTACCATGCCTATACAGAGAACAGACGTGTCAGTAACATGTCGAGCTATAATCATAGATTTTCACAGATCTTCATTTCCTTTTTAAGGAAGTGCCATCGTGAAGGTAAAATGATTTATCAGTATGGTAGCTGCCATTGTTTACTTGGTTGCAAGCCTGGTCAGAACTACATTTTCCATCAGTTAAGTGACATGAAGCTAGCATGAATGATTACAGTCTACGCTAGCTCCATTCTTGTTGCCCAACAAGGACTCAGATACCTGAAGCTTGTATCTATATTTGAGTATGCACAGCAGCTATGATATTTCACCCAGGGTGATTTTAAGTCAAGATAACTCCTGTACTACCAAAAGGACATTCTAGAGATATTCCAAATGTTAAAGATGGAAGGTCCCACTCTTGTCCATGAGGCAGTCTGACAATGGTGGGATTCCAATGAATCTCTTAATTGCTTCAATGCTAACCCTAGTTTTTCCCAGCAACAGATGTCAGTTATCACAGCAGCAGAAACGCTAGGTTGTAGGTACAGGCTAGAAGTCCATAGAAGGAGTCAATAGTTGAAATCGTACTCAAAGCCAAAACTTGGGTCCCCCTTTAGACTTAGCTCCAGCACAGGTTGCCAACACATTCCTAGCCAAAAAATAAAAAAACACATGGGCCAAGCACATCTGAATTATGTGCACTGCCTGCAAGAGTTTGTTAGGGGGCCCTCATTCAGACTGTAGGGCACAGTGGTACGTGCATTTTGTTAACCCAAATTCATGATTTTACCACAAACTTAAAATGGGCCACAAGTTTGAGAAAGTAGAGAATGTTAGAACCTCCGCCAGGTTAAAGTCCCAGTGTTAGGCCTGAGTGAGGGAAATCCATAACTCAAGTTGTCACCAGAAAAGGCATGGATGCATTTTCCTAATGGGCACTTGTTCCAGTGACATCGTGGGGGATATACCTCATTGGAAAGTACTCACTTGTGTTTAGAGCAGGATGAGAAAGGAAGTTCTTGAATGGGAGAGATGACAGAAAACCTGACTGGAGTTTTAACTGTCCCCTACTCTTTCCAAATGTTTTTAGCTTAAGCCATTGACTACTAAGGATGCAATGCTGGTAGATCTGCCCTGTCCTAGTGTAGACTCACCGATAGTAGTAGCATATTATGGGGACCACAGCTGGGTTGGTTCGGACGATTGGAATGGAGGAGGTTGGGCTGTAGGTCAGGCTGGTGGTGTAGACCACCCAATCTTGATACATCTGTGCACAGAAAAGTAGAATGTTATATTGATTTGGCAGCTCTACACATGACAAAGTGACAGCCATTGTTAACCCATTTCCAAAGACTAATCATCTATCATGCCAATAAGATTCAGCAAGCATTTACAATTCTCAAACTTCAGGTAAGTGACTCAGCCTGATAATTTAGAAGATCAATAGCAGACCCCATATCTTATTTTAGGTTCTCACCATAACCTTAGAAAAATGTAATAAAGTATTTTAACTATTTCCTTGCAGCAGTTCACATTCATATTGTTTTATTTATCTTGCAATGCACCTCTAAACTGGTCAGGGAATAGACACATAAAAGGACCAGTTTCCTAGCACAGACCCCCTCCATCCTAACACATCACAGCCCTCTCCTTGAGTGTCCAATTACTGCATGCTGGCCCAGCTACTCCATAACATTTTATGTGGTTGCTGGGGAGGAGTGAAGGGGGAATACTATGAATTGTATTTTAATTAATAGCAAATCAGCAGGAGCAGCTGACATATCAAAGATGGCAGCAGTCTACGGGCTTTTGGATGTCTATACAAGAGAAGCTCCTACAGGTAAACATGCCAAAGAGGTTAAGTGCACATAGGTCTTATGCTGAAGAGTCAGGCAACAGGGTCTCATTAAGACAGCTTCCAATGTGTGAAGAAAACAAAACCCACACATCGGAAACAGGGGCGTCCCGAGGCCAGGTGACACCTTGCTGTGTCATTGCATGTGTGCGATCTAGGGTTGCCACCTGTCCAGGATTCACCCGGACAGTCTGGGTTTTGACTGCTGTGTGACAGCAGAAACCCAGACACGAGATGTCAGGCAGACAGAGGCAACCAAAATTAAGAGATATTTGTGATATTTACAGAAGCTGCAACTCATTCTCCCCCCAAAAAAATGTCTGCGTGTCACGAGTGTTCAGGTTTCGCTTGAAGAAAAGGTGGCAAACCTAGCGCGATCGCGCATGCACGGCCATCTGGTTGACACCTGCCAGTGGCCATCTTGGTGATGAACGCCGGCAGATTGATAAGGGGACGTTCCCCTGGCAGGATGAGGAATGCCGCCAGGTCCCCTCCTCTCCGACACTGTCAGGGCTCTCAGTCCATGACCCGAGTGCCCGACATTTTAGAGGGGAAGACCCCAAAAGGACTGTCAGTCATTTGGGTGTCATATCTCAGATGGCGTCACCCGGGTGCAGGCTGCACCCCCCTTGTGACACTACTGCGTCTCAAATCCATGGTTCCTAATTAAGGTACCAGACTAAAATCTAGCAAAATATTGCCCTGAGATACTAACCATCTTGCTCCCCACACTGCTGACCACTTTAACAGTGATCATAAGACCCTCTTCATCCAACACTCCGGTGGTTGCCATATTTAACCACTTGCTGATCAGTGTGTTTTACAACTCCTTTCTGTCAAGGCCATTTCAGTATTCAGCACTGAGCTACTTTGACATTTATTCCATATTTATAGGCCTACTGAAATGTTATACCATTTTTTGTGGACATTTGGTGGTATTTAACCAATTGCCGTCCGCCCGCTGTAAAAAAGCCGACAGACGGCACTGCAGCATTGGCGGGTTGCCGTCTCCAGACAGCATTTTTTTTCTGCTCGCAGGCGCACACGGGCAGAAAAGACCCGACCAATGCAAACACCCATTACTGGTCTATAGCCTGCCGATCGTCTATATGTGCTCGTTTTTTTGGGCGCCCCCCCGTCTGACCCCTCACCTTTTTGCCCCCTGACCCCTCACCTTCAATCCGCTGCCCCATCTGCGGCCCGGGACCGGCTCGGAGGGCGTCAGGAGGAGGACGGGAGATCAGCTCCTTGCTGACCTCCCTCCGGGCTGTGAATGCAGAAGTGATGTGTATTACATCACTTCCGCATTCACCTGTCAGTCATCTGGCTGCTATAGCCAGAGAAAAAAAGCTGATAAAGCAGATCTCTGCTTTATCAGCTTTAAGTCCCATATAAAAAAGTAAAAAAACCCAAAATGTTTAACTTCCCCACCCCCACGTTTACGCAGATATAAACGTAAATACGCGTCGGCGCCCCAGTGGGCAAAAACGACAATTGCGCTACACATGTTACATATCGCCGCGAACGTCACAGCGAGAGCAATCATTTTAGGGCCATCAATCACTGATAACACTAAACTGATGAGCGGTAAAAGCTTTTAAAGCATCGCCTATGGCCCATTTTGGGTATTCTCGTTTGAGGTTTCGCGCACGCAAATTTTAAGGCTTGACATGTTTGGCGTCTTTTTACCCGACATGACCCCGTCTTATATTTTTACCAAAAAAATTGGGTAATAAATGTTTTATCATTTAATATAGGGGGAAACAGTTTTTTTTGAATTTTCCTTAATAAAGTAAAAAATAAAAACCCCAGTGGTGAATAAATACCACCAAAAGAAAGCTCTATCTGTCCCCAAAAAAAAAAAATGGTATAAAATTAATTTCAGTACAGCGTTGCATGACGGAATAAACGTCAGTCAAAGTACCGCACCGCTGAATACTGAAAAATGGCCTGGCCAGGAAGGGGGTATAAACACCTGGTCTTCAAGCAGTTAAAAAACACTCATCTGTAGCCAAGAAGCTGCTGTCCGGCTGTTTAATTACAAGGGCCGGACAGCAGGTGGTGAAAGACCTTCTGCTTTCTTGTCCCACCCAACCTGGATTACTAATCTTTGCTCTCCAAGCGCTATGGTGCCCAAAGATCAGCAGTGCAGGTAACCATTCTTGCCAGTTAGGACTCTGATGCCATGGATTAGGGCTGCTCAATACAATGACAGCAATTTAGTGCTGTAGTCTGGAGTATTCCTGTAACAGGAGCTATTAGCCAGAGCTGGCTACCTAGATCTACATTACAATTTATAGGTCAGAGCGTCACCTGCTAGAGAAAGCCTGTGGGTGGGTCAGCCATCATGATAGAATAAATACTGAGGGACTGCAGCGACCTGAGCAGAAGACAGAAAAGCCAGCCTGGTAGTAACCCACAACCTGCATGGTTTAGCCCATTTGAAAACACTAGCCCCTTTAGATCAGGTGATGCTGTCAGTTTATAAAATTAGTGGTTCAGAGTTCTTGTACCAAGTAAATATAAAAGGGCTGCCATTAAGAAGCCTAGTTGCCTGGCAGGGTCATCAACTCAAGTATATCAGTGACCAAAACAAGCACGCAACAAGGTAAGACAATATACCCGCTTGTTAAAAGTGAGTCAGCACTCTATTCAGACCTGTGGCACTAGAAGCATTTTAAGAGAGATTCTTGCAGTGCACAAGGCTCTCAAAAGCTGAAGCCTTTGTGCAATCCTTCAAAGCAATATTGTGGTTTCATACATGTTCCCTTATGGTCAGGCAAGTATGAAACCATTTCCTATTTGTAGTAACCCAATATAAATTCAGGGAATTTAGAGAACTAGGGCAGGGGAGAATGAAAAAGTAAGTGCCAGTTGTTGCTATAGGTATCACTGAAGTTACTGGAATACATACAACACAGAACTTTAAAGGAAGGGTTTGGCCTGCAAAAGTTAAAGTGTAGAAAATTACCTGCGCAGTGTTGCCACAGTCCTGGAGGCTAATCTGGAAGATGACCATGTTGTCAGTACTTTGGGTGCTTGGCTTGCATTGTTGGGCTCCCAGGCTCAGATCAGAAGGTTTTACTAGCTTTCCATTCCCATACAAATCCCTCGACACTGACATCCATGGTGTCCTCTCCACACTGGACACTGATAGGGGAACTTCCTGTCTGTAGTTGCTGTCGGAGCATCCCTGGACGTCCAGCAGATGAACCCCACTGAGCCCCAGCTCTGGAAGCCCCAAACCCAAGAACAGGCTCATTACTGCCCCGATAAAGCTCTCTAGAACCCCATCTAGAAGGAACCTGGGCAGGTACAGCCCGCTGGTAGTTCCTCCACCAATCTGACTGGCGACTATATCTAGCTAAGACATCATCTCCAGCACAGCCAAACCCTGGCCCATAAACCAGTACAAGCAGCAGCAACAACCAACTACAGCAGCTCCTCATCCTTAAGCCCATCCTGTCTACAAGAGGAACAGCACAAGGAGTGATTTAGAGAGCGTTACCATTTATACCCCTCCCAGCAGCCACTAATACCCCCAGCTGGGGCAGATTATTATCACACCCAGATGGCTGGCCCATTCAGCATTAGGGGTAAGATACATGGTTGATTTTAATCTGTTGCTGCTGAGAGATGTAACCACTTGCTGGCATTCACCTCACTGGAGCTACACAGGGGAATTTTATTAGCTTATTCCTGTTACTAAAATCGTTAATTTCAATGGGGGGCATTAATGCAACAAACAATAACATGCAAATGTCTCCTGTGTAGTTCTAGTCCAGGGGTCTCCAAACTTTTCAGTACAAGGGCCACATTGTATATTTTACAACTATTTATGGGGATAAAAGTATCAGTTTTATTAATGACTGAATAAAAATTGCAAGAATGCACAATCCTCCCTTACATCTAGGAATACCCAGCAGAGCACCACCACATACAATGCCAGGCACTGTGGGCTAGATAATATGTTGCAAAGAAAATTGCCATGTGTCTTCTGGTCCATTGATGCGTGTTTAGGGCCCATTGAAGCATTGAAGATGTATACAGACCATGCAATGGGCATCATCATGCCAAATAATGAGTGCCATCTAATGTTGGAGCAACTCAGATGAACTGGGAAGTTGCACCAAACCATCGCACTTCCTTTGTATCAACACATGCAACATGTGAATGAGCCCTTTGCATTACCATTCATTTTACATTGACCCCAGGATGCACAGTGATCCAGTAACATACATGCTGTGCTCTCTGAATGAGCTCTATCGCTGGGAGCCGCTTAGATCTTGCTTTGCTGTAATGTCTTATTTATTATTACTTAAAGTTAGTCCATCCAAAAGTGAAGTTTTGGGTGTCCACGTTCACCTTTGTGTGCTCTCAGCTCCTCCTGTCACATTCTGGGTAATATGAAA